CGTCAATAACTCGTTAAATATTAATGCTAGCGAAAAAATTTTATACAGAAATTGTAAATCTCGTCGTCCTCTACAAGAAAGGTCATATACAATTTTCCCGTAGATTCAACTGTTTAAGAGTAATTAAGGAAAAATGAAATTTTTTGCCAAAAGTTCGCCGTTTCGACGCTGGGATGGTCGGATTTTGTCAACATCAATAAAATGCCAAATAATCATACGTAACTCGTTAAATATCGAAGTTAGAAGGAAAACAACTTTTATTTGAAGCATTTTTCGCAATTTTGAAAAAAAAATTTTCCGTCAGCGTCAATACTTAATTGGATATTTCCTTCTATACTCTTTAGCACGTAGCTATTTATTATTAGCATTGTTCTTCCGACGTCTGATTTCTTTTTAATTGTAGGAAATGCGTTTTTCTAAGGTACATAAACTTTTGGGATTGACTGTATAGCCAATACATCCTTAAGATCATCTGTTGAATCTCATAAACGTTGATTAATGTTTGTATTATTCTCTCTCTGATGCAATTAATCCAACAACTATAATAATCAAGCATCGTTCGTATTCCCAAAAAGAAGAGAAACTTAAAACGATCCGCGGTTGTGCAAACGAGGACGAAACGACACAAGTTCAGCCGGCGTGGCGGGGCGAAGCCGCGGATGGGTTTCTCTCTTCGCGATTCGATCGTGTGCGCAGCGTCAAGAGGATGCAGCTTTTTAGTTTCTACTTTTTTTTTTCTACGGCGCACGAGAGAGTTTCCTAATATCCGTTCTCGTTCGCGGAATCAAAGCGATTACCCACGCTATGTCGCGCCGCGTCTACGCGGGTGCACCGGTGCACGTTGAATCGCGATTGGCCACGGATTGACGACCAGAATACTCTTCAATTGTTAAACGCGGTACGACCCACAAACGTTTCACGTTACAGCTTTGTTAATTATAAATTCATATAGAAGATGATTAAATGTAAAAAACGTGTTGAAACATTTATGTAGATATCGTCAGTATTTTCCCTAATGAGCACAGCGCGTGTGTCGTGCATTCTTTTATCTGAAATAATTGTCCTCACGCGTCTAATTACAGTGGCTCTATTTGTCCTCTGATAATGCAGATAACACCTATCTATACCGTCCTGATCTTTTTTTTTTTATATCCAGATACATAACGAAGCTCTGCTTTTTATTATCATTCATGAAATTCATTACCAACAGGAACTAATGAGAGTTTGCAGAACTCTAAATCGATCGACGAATTATTGATAATAACTGAGTTTCATAGAATGATTAAAAATATATAAAATGTCAAAAGCTGCAGGGTGGTACATCGCCATAGTCAAATGATGAATTTTATTTGAATCAAGTTTTATTAAATTAAAATTATTATTTAGTTTCTAGAAAAATTCGCAGTTTAATAATAAGAAATCGTTGGAAGCTCGTGTGAAAATCTCGACTGATCAGGTCTCGTGTTGCGCGTTTAATCGGGCCTGTCGACTGAATCGCGGTTTCATCGCCGATCGTGGAATAATCGATAAGGAAGTACGGGTGTTTACTTGAACGGGAATTAAATCATGGGTGAACCTCCGCTTCCTGCCCGGATCATTTCATACCCTGTCTCCAACCTTTTTTGTATTTATTCCTGCTCGCGTCCTTCCTGTCCGCGCAGTATAGACACCGAAGATGTAAAAGTTCCCGGGAAACTTCCTTCGGGCGTATGATATACGATACGAGCGATGAACGGCGTACGCAAATGAACCGATCTCGAGTGAAGATCCAGAAGCGAAAAGGAAGAAGCCTCGTACATGATTTTATCGATCGATATTTATTTTATGAAGAGTTATTGCCTGCACTAGCGATTTTTTCAAATCCACTGGCCAGGATATTGCCTCTGCTTACATTTTAGCATTTCTTCCTAGGAATAAATCATAATTCCTGGCTTCCACTTATGTACAGAGTATCTCAGTATTAAAACTGTTCCTGAGATCCTAGCTACTACATTCCATTTAAAATATAACTAATTTCTGTTCACGTCGCAATTTCTGCTCAATGATTTGCGATTACAGATAAAAAAGCCAGTGTGAAATTGTTACACAAATAGAAATTTAGTCATTTACTATAATTACTCGTTAGAGATAACCAGCACCTAACGTTTGCATCGGCTCGGTATATGGAAGTCGTCCGTTGTAAAGGATCCCCGTAAAAGGCCTCTATCTCGTAATCGAAATACGAGTGGTTGCACGGCACATATAAAAAGGGACACACGTACGGGCGGGGTGGAGTGGTCCGAAAAACCACCTAAGTGGCCGAGGCAATGGCACGGGAGCATTCTGGTGGCACAGGATATCCGGAGTGGGAGTTTCTATGCCGCGCGGCTCTTTTTTTTTCCCCATTCTCTCCTTCGTTCCGAATAAAAAGTGCCGATTCAACGCTTCGAAACGTTGAAAACGCGATGCTCGAACACAGAATACGGAGAGAGGATACGCGTCTCGCCTCCGCGATTCCCGTCATTGTTCTCTCTCTCTCTATCTCTCTCTCTCTCTTGCTTTTTTTTGTAGGTACCTGTGCATCGGCGTGCACGTGACATCGCGATTTTACGGAAATTCGATCGGTGTTTTTGTCCATCCACGATAGCCAAGGAAAACGACTCTTCCGGCCCAACCTGCTCTTTTCCACTCGCGAATATCTCCCAGTTTGGTAAATATAGGATCCTACCTTTTATTCCGGAGGATACAGGGAAAATTGGGGGTCTTCGTCTTCCGAGAAGAAGAACCTTTCAAGGAGCTCGATGATTCTTTTTCACATTCCCATGTCTAATAATACGTGTAGAAAAGATTTTCAAATGCGGGGTACACATCGCTGAATTGGGATTCTTACGTTACATAATTTTATACCTTTTCTCAGTGCATTTGATTTTATGCATTTATAGCAGGAATTTAATATGCAGTATAATCTAAGTACATCTCATTATTTTTCGATGTTCAGTTTCAATTTCATTTTCAAATTGACATCACAAAAGGTGTTACATAAAAATCCACAGTGTAGTTGTTAGACTGTTCATTTATCTCAAACTAAAAAATTCTTTAAAAAATTCTAGAAGTAGACAGCAAGATTTTTTAAGAAAATTCATTATATAAATACTACTTGTAATACATAAAACTGTACAGAATATCAGAATTTCAATGCACATTGCAACATTTGATAAATGTTTAAAAAACACTGTTTAAACCGATACCATAAGTGTTTTATTTTGCATAAAAATCAGCTGTCTAGTCATGAGATATCATCCTGATAAACGAGAGGAACCAGGAGAGGAAGGAAAAGTATAGCTTCACGTACCTTTCTGGAGGATCTCGAGGTGTTCCCACAGGATGTCTCCCATGAAAGCTGGAGCACGCGCCAAGAAGGATTCCTTCCCCATGGCACAAATCTGTTTCCCGGTCATGTGCTGCCAAGGCTGCATCGCCACACCCTCCAACGAGAATTCGCCGATCGCCCAATGCAACCAGTGAGCGACAGCTGCTTCCGACCATTGCCTCGGATCTGAAAGAAGATATTACCATTCGTTCGATGAATCTTCATCTATCCCAGTGGATTAACAAATTCAATCCCAATGAAATTTGAACTTTACACGAGGTAAATGTCGTCAATACCCGAAAGCAGCGATCACGTATTTTTGTACTCGGTAAAACCGATCCGATCAAAACATCGCATCTTCTGAATGAACTGCTACTGAAATCGATTTTATCTGTTTCGAATTTAAGTGCACTAATTTATTGTAAAAATGGCTAAATTCTCATTAACACTAGATTGCCCAAAGAAGTCATTTTTACTGCTTTTGGGCAAATGTACAAATAATAATGCATAAATTATTTTNTAAAAATTAATTTTAGACAAATTTCTTTACACATTATTCTTTCACAATGCAGTCATTTTGACTGCTTTGGGCAATATAGGTATATACTAAGTTTCAGTCTTTCTAGTGTTAATAAATGAATGAAGACGAATCTTGGTATTTTCATTTCACGATCCTCGAGCAAATGACCAAATGATCAATCCTGGGAGTGGTTATTTAAGCTCGGAAGTCATCACTCCTTTTGCAAGGCGAATTCTTGTTCGTTTAGAGTAATTTAAAAGATGTTTTAAAAATACATTTAATACGTAAATCGATACGCTTTATTCTTCGAAACTTAATATCAGACGCTAATGCAAGCACTTAGCGTAAGGCATTTGCTACCCATTTATGCATCAGACATTTGATGCGAATTAATCGCAGGCGACGTCGAGGATAGAAACGGTTTTCGAAGACGAGAAAGATGGCATGTATCGCGTCGGGTTGACGACATGATCGGTGCTCGGGCCCGGCCATCTTTGGTAGAAGCAATACCGAGAAACATTGGAATGTCCCATTTGAGGTGCGCGCCCATATTTGCACGCGTGTCTTGCATTGTTTCGCGGTATCTTCCCGCGTAAAAGTACAGTTCGGCTCATAATGCAAACAGAAATCACGACGAGCCCCCTCGTCCGTCTCTCTCCTCCTTTCTCCCTCGCCCCGGTTACGTACCGTCATCCCGACTGAGAGAAATTTCGTCGAAGCGGACCACTAATTTCACTCTCGACTATTTTCCGAAGGAATTTTAAACACTTTCACTGTTTGTAACCGCGCGCTGAATTAATGCAAACATTTTATACGCTCCATCCTAGAAGGAATAATTTGAAACGATGTTCTTTTAATTCAAGGTTTACGTTTCATCGTAAAAATCGTAAATGACAAACAAACAAAAAAACCAATTGAAAATGTTACGCAATGAGAAAAAAGTGAGGAGCAGGTTGGTTTGAAATATGGCTCAATAAACGAGAACTGGAAGATGTTCAGAGTTTCTTGCTGAACATTTTTTCGTTTCGCTGATAATCTTCTACCAGCGGCACCGAGAATCTGCATATTCCTCTCCCCGGGCGATGATAATGCAAGGAGAAGTAATCTAACGTAATACAGGACTTTTAACTCCCACCCTCTTTTTCACCTTATCTACCGCTTGATTACGTCGTAGCAAACTAATTGCCTAGATTAGCCTATTGCGGCGCGGCTGATTAAAAGCCGTAAAACCAGCCAGCGAACGTCTGCGGCATCTGAGCATCTCCTCGAACGCGTTTCGCGTAATCGCTTTTTCTACCCTCTCGTACGCAAATATCTCGCCGATATCGTTTAGCCTCACCGTTTCATTACTTAACGCGAAACTCGTATCGTTAGAAACGTCTACCGATAATGGAATTAACAATCAGATTTTGTTCTTTATGTGGTTAAATCTTTACTTAAGATTACTTGAACATTTCTTCTTATGAGCAACTGACACTATTCCGAATTCTAGCACCATTGAAAGGCAAAGCATAAACGCTTTACTACTACAACTTTAATAATTTTTTCCTTGAACATCTTCGGTCTTTACTTTCAAAGTCTAATCGTTAATTTCATTACTGATAGAATCCTCTTGGCACAACTCCGTTCTCGAAATTCAAAAAATTAATGAAAAAAGAAATGAGACGAAATTTTTGGACAAAGAATTCTTAAAATTCGTTTGCCGTAGTTGAGAACAAAGGCGTCCCGGTTGTTCAAAGGCTAATCAAAGGCGAAATAAACGGAGTAATCGAGGAAGAACGACGAGTGGAGGACAGCGAGCGAGTCCAGAGGAAGGAGTGAGAGTCTGTTAACAGTGCTGACAAGGAATAAGTTCGGCAAACATTCGGCGCGATCCTCAAATATCGGCGGCCGCTTTGATCGTGCCGTGCTATGCGGTGCCGTGCCGTTAGACACCCGTGCCTCGTGGTCTTCTTTGCTCTCTCTCACCTTTTCCTCTATTTAAGTATTATCGCCGCGGTCCCCGGTACTCTCCGCCGCCTCCAAGTCCTCCGTCGTCGCACGGTCTCATCGTTTCCATGAAGTGGACGCGCGGGCGCGCGCCAAAGGATCCTTCCTTGTTCATTGAGAAAAACGGCGTTACACTCGCGAGTCACGTACAGAGAGCATCGGGCGTGCGATTTCGATATGGCCATCCAAGGACTCCCGGTGTTCTTTCTACGATACTCCTCGATCACCGGTGATCTATTATGCTCCCACCGGCCGGGACACCTTTGACTTCTAACGATGTTTCCGCGAGGGAAAACACGCGCATCATTGACGCTGATCGATCGCTCGAATCTACAAACTATTTCCAACTGCGATAACCTGTCGAGAATCGATGTCCCGAGTTGTGTAAGTACGCTTTTCTATTAGCGAACGATAAGATCGTCGATGTAATTCCGGATCACTGGACTCTATGCACTTACAAAAAATTGTATGAGATGATGGAACAAAAATCATTATTTTTAAAGACCAAAGAGAATATCGATTTCATTTTTCGAACACTTCTCGGTACGACGTTTCACATTGAAGAGATTTAGATAGAGAGAACAGAGCTAGGACTGTCGAACAATGAATCGTATAATATAATGGGGTGTCTAAAAGCAGCGATCATAGAGCCTTAAACAGAGATAGTCGCCGCAGGTGCGACACGCGCAAGCTTTAGACGACGATAATCGGGGAAAATACCGACTGTGATTTCGGTCGGTTGGTTTAGGAACCGTCTGGCTCGCGCGAGTTTACCTACGATACGATGTACCTGCCCCTAACAGTGATAAATTTCACCTCTCGGTGGGACAGGTGGACGCCAATTTCTCTTCTTTATTCTCTCTGTCTCCATGCACGGTTCTCCTTTATGGTAGACCGATCACAGGAAAACGATGGACTCTCGATACAGGCCGCACGCGTCACGGTGAAGATTTTAATTAGCCATCTGACGCTTTTTTTATTTTATCTGCATCCATCGTCTGTTTGCCTCCGTTCAATCGCTGCTGTCTTATTTCGCTCAAATATTTCTCGGAATTTTTTCAACCCTTCAGGAACCAAGAATTACTCTGATCCATTTAAGGATGTATTGGCTATACAGTTAATCCCAAAAGTTTATGCACTTTAGAAACGCATTTTTTAAAAAGAAATCAGATGTCGGAAGAACATTGCTAATAATAAACAACAAAAAAAAATTTTCGATTTTTCCGAGATTTTTCCAAGGGATACCCCTTCAATTTCTTCCAAATTTTCGTTTTTGGCCAATAACTCCCAAATCGTTGGACATACGGAAAAATTGCATATGACCTTTCTTGTAGAGGACGATAAGATCTACAATTTCCATGTAAAAATTTTTCGCTAGTGTCAATAGTTAACGAGTAATTTGCAAAAAACTGTTTTTTCATTTTTCATCAATAACTCGTTAAATATTAATGCTATCGAAAACTTTTTAGACAGAAATTGTAGATCTCGTCGTCCTCTACAAAATGGTCCTATAAATGTTCCACTACGTCCATCCGTTTGGGAGTTACTGGCAAGAAACAAAAATTTTTGTCAAAAGTTGGCTGATTCGACGGTGGAATGGTCAGATTTTGTGAACATCAATAAAATGCCAAATAATCATACGTAACTCGTTAAATATCGAAGTTAGAAGGAAAACAACTGCTAGTTGTACGATACTCTCGTACGTTTGTACGATAAAAACCGGAGAAGCTTTCGGTTTGAAACATTGCGTCGAAGTGGTACGTGACGAGCCGCGGCTCGATTCGACAAAGGGGTACGCGCACATCCTTAGCGACGCTTATTATTCATAAGAACGGCAGATTCTGAATAAATCATAATAACGAATGCGTCAGAGAGGGTTCTGACGTCCCGCAATGCAATCGCGAATGCACGCCGTGTCTCGGTTTACGTTGCAGCAGGTGCTGTGGCGACGGTTGCGGTAGCACGCGCGGTATTCGAACTCAAAGTTCAGAAAATGGATCGTTTACGTTTAGATCATCTGTGAATTCCTATACCATCGATTTAACAGCATGTCGAAGGATCTATGTTTCAAATGCTCCTAATGTAGGTTTGACACTGATTCAAAATGAGATCAGTTGAACAGAGAATATCTAGAAAAGGGACGAGAAGAGACCTAAAGAGAGAGCAACGAGAGAGAAAGATATGAAGAACGATAATGGAATCGATGAAATCTTAAAGATTCATCTTCCAAAATCTTAAACTCCTGTCGTTGGTTTAACACTACTTAAAAATGGGACGATTGTTGAATATAGATTAACGTCGGGAACAACGGGTCGAACGTGGAATGTCTAAAAAAGCGATGAGAGATTTGAAGATCGGCGACATAAAATGGGCACCGAGAGGGGAAGAAGGGGAGATATAAAGAAAGAGAATGGAATCAGCGCGACTTCGGTCTAAAGTGGAACGGTACGACGCGGCGCGAGGTTGCTCGTTAGGTTCACGGAGGTCAGACTGTAGGTGATCTGGCTGGAGGGTACGAACCCGGGGCATGTAGACCGGAAGTAACGTCACACCCGCGTGGCTCTGAATGCGCATACCGGATGTGTGGCATCGGCTCCCCATCAGAACCATCAACATCACATTCACAATTCCTGCACATCGCCGCCTCGTCGCACATCACATCACATCGCCGTATATACTCGCACGCACGCACGCACGCACGCACTCACGCACGTATCTACCTATGCACGCACGGATCGAGGATTTTCCCTGTTTCGAGACGCGGCACACGCAGACCGTTCTGCCACGATTTTCGACAAATTTCACCCGTCCGCGGTCGACCGTGAATCGTTGTGCAACGAAACGAGAACCGAGTTCATATATTACTCGAGCCCTTTTCTGTGTTACGTTTGTTCTCCTTTTTTTTTTTTTTTTTTTTTTTTTACCGGGGAGACAGGTCCGCCCGAGTGATTTTTTAGAGATAATTAAATTGAGAAGCTCGATGCGTGACGATACTTTGGTAGTCGGTACATCGATCTGTGGCTACGCTTTTTATCAAACTAAATTATGTAAGTATATCTCAATTAACAGAAAAAGACAAATCAACAAACAAAAAGACTGTATCAAGCAATTTCAAATTACATCGATTTACATTTCCGGACAAAAACATAATTGTCGTTTAGAGGAAAGAGAAAAAATAACGTGAAATATTGAAACAACGCTTCTTCCTGATCGATAAACGTCTACATATTATACTTGCAATTAGCATGACCCTTGACTCGAGTAAGTGTATTTGCACTATAAATCTGAAACTAGATCAATAAATGCGGTAAATAGATGCAACAAACTCGTACATACAACACTGTTTTAATGGCCGATACGTTTTTCACTACTTTATTAAAATGATAGCAGTCATGTTTAATGGAAAAATGCAAAACGAAATCGACTATTTAAATATCTATATGTTAGAAAAAGTGAATCTGACGCTCGTAATCGATGCTACATTTAAAACGGAATCGTGTAAACGCTCGGTATGGAAACGTCAAAGTTATCGAATAGTATCGCGGTATCACGGGAACGATCCTGTAATTAGAAGTCGTTGAGAAACCTGTATACTCGGTGGAACGCGTGCAAGCCGCAAAGGGAGGCTAGAGAGAGAGAATATCGAAGACCAGAGGAGAACGTTTTCCGCGAGGCTGGAGTACCTCAGATGTAGAAGGGAAGAGAGAGAAAAAAAAGGCGGCACTCACCTTTGGTTATGTTGAGGCGGACTCGTTCCTTCTCCCAGGAGGCGAACGAGGCCTCCAGGGCCTCGGTCATCTTCTTGTTGGTCCCAGGTGTTAACGGCGGCACTTGCGCCGGTATATCTGCAACGTGATACAGACATTCCGATCATTAAATTGCCGAGAACGAAATTTAATTAATTTTGCATCCATTCACAAAAAAATTCCTCTTTCGTGTTTATCAATCAATTATTGAAACACCGCAGTTCAAACTTTGCCTCTTTTACAGTAATAACCTCGGCTTTTGTAAGAAATAGATTTTATAAAGTAATTGTTTATATGTAAAACACAATTTTTAAATTGATATAATAAATGATTTATCCGCGGTCCATCACTATTTTTTCATTTCGACAGAATGAGATCGATTCAGAGAAACGAGTTACCATTTTGTTTAAGTTAAGTCAAGGGGTCAACGGCCTTAAAAGACAGGGAATTCCTATTTGCATACTCAAAATTATCCGTGTTCCAGATTAATTTTTTTTCTCTTTTTTTCTTTCAGAAAAGATCGACATCCCTACACGTTTCTCGCTGTTTTCGATCGCTGGAGTGGACGTGTGAGAAGCCAGGTTAATGGTGCTTCTCACAAAGCGGCGGTGCACACAGGCATAAGTGCGGAGAGGCCCGCGCGTACACGCGGAGGAGCGTCAGGTGTCGCGGGCAGGAGCAGGAGCGAAAGCGAACCGAGGCAGAGGCGAGGGGGGGCACCCATCCTAGATAGCATCGTCGTAAAGAGGGGTGCAACTGGCGGGCAGGTGCAGGTGCATCGTCGTTGTAGGTACTTATACACGGTCGCTCTATGCCGTCCGCGACGCTTCGCCTTATGGCGCGAACGAACAATACTTGACTCGGCCGCGTTTCATATTCTTTGTCTCATCTGTTCGTCACCTTGACCTTAGGGTTACGCGTCGTCTTTCCCCCGGACATAATTTTCGATCCAGCCGAGTCTCTCAAACATGCGAAAATCTCAGGATCTTTTAATTTCCACGTTTTTTCTCAAGTTAACTGAACTTTCAGCAATTGCATATTTACTCCTGACAAATGTTTTTGAACGGGAATGCAGAGTTCGAGTCCGATGGAGTAATTTTCGTTTATCGAGAACGGAAGAAACGTAAGCTTGATAAGATAGACTGGACTGAGCGTGAAAACAAAGAACCAGTGGTCTGGCAACTAGCCACCGCAAATCTCGTCATTTCTTTTTTCAAACAAGGAACGTGGTTCCATTATCAAGTAGAAAGATTAGAGTAATAATGTTTCTTCATGAATTCGTCGCTATCGAAATTTCTATCCTCTCTCGAGTTATCGGAACTGCGTCGAACCAGCGCCAATAAACGACGTAGAGTAGGAACGAGTAAAGTCGAAGACGAAAATCGTGGCGTGGAGGAACCTAGTGCGCGATAAAAATCGTGTTCCCTTGGCGGACGTCGGGATATCTGCACAGCTGGATTTGCATGGCTATAAGCTCTTCCAACGGCATACCGCCGAAAGTCCATTAAGTATGTATGGCATGCACGCACGGTAAGTCTCCCGTAACCCATAAGCACCTTTGTCTCAACGCGCACAGCCACACGCGAATACACTTATACCTGTGCGTGCCCCTTCTATACGGACACGTGCGAGCGGAAATTTGCATACCTCCGCGCCGCGTTACAAACGTACAAAGTATCGTTTCGGGGCGGCTCACTCGCTAGAGAAACACCGCCGAGTCGTTCGCCGCCTTAAATGGCTCTACCGAATTTGACGCGCGATAGAAATAATTAATTAGCAATACGATGAACCCTTCGCCACGGGCTTCGCTACGTTTTAGTGGCCGTTAGATCAGAAACCGATTAAATATGTAGGTTTTATTTGAAAACGAAAATTGTACAATTTTTATTATGTGGTAAGACAAATTTTCTTGAATTAAAAGTTCAATTTTTAATCAAGTCTATATTAATAATATTAAAATAGAAATCTATTTAATTCCAAGAATGAAACTTTTATTTTTAAGAACACATAGATATATACTTTGTAATAAAAGAATTATAATTCTCATCCTAAGATAAAACCTATGTAGTTAATCGATTCCTGATTTAAAGAGTAGTAAAAAGAAACGAACCTCCTAATGGCAAACGATCGTCTTAAATCGCAAACGTTTCGTCGTTGCGTTAAACACCTGCTTGCATTTTGGTTCATTTTTTATGCATGGAGAGTCGTAATACTTTTGAGAATTTCGAAATTGTTTGAAACGAGTCGACTCATTTCTCAAACACTTAAGCCTCATGTATAATTCAATCGACAGGATTGACGAATTCCCTAAAAAAACGATCGTACCATTTCATCGGGTTCCATGGCAAATACTTTCGCGGCACACCGGTGCTAAGTGTATCAGCGAGGCACGGAACGAGAATTATTCATCGGGACGCGTCGGGGAATGCGCGTAATCGAGGAGGAAGAAAAGGAATCGGGCACCGAGCGAAGGGATCGACGGGAGAAGTTCCCGTAGAAGTCGAATTGGAAACCCCACGTGCCACGGCGCAACGCTCGCCTCGTGAACGGAATCCCAATCGGGCCACATTTGCGCGAACGACGCCTGTGGCTCGTCGTACACCTCGTTGCGAATGCCGCGTATGATCGAGCACCGACGAGACCCGCCCGTAAACGCTACCTCGATGGATTCCGCGGACCCCAGATTTATCTCTTCTCACGCGGACCTCCGTGCTCGAACAGTTTCTCATTCACCAAATTCGATCGTCCAGACGGACTGATCGTTAGAACTCGGACGCTGATTATTTAGATCAGTGCAAAAGTTCTTGCCTGATTTGAAATTATGATACGATCGTTTACATTTTTTAATGCAGTCATTCTTGTTTCCAAGTAGGGTGATTCTTTTATCGTAGAAACTGTAAGATCGTAAATCAAACGATAAGCATCAGAATTCAATGCAAAGAAATTATAAACATCGCGGCTACCGTTCAAGGCATAAAAAGCTCAATGAATATTTCAATATTTAAATGACAAAAGAAGTGTACATTAAAAACAGTTTTTAAACTGATAACGTAATTAGTTTTTTCTTTTTAATGTAAGAGCCTGCAGTTTATTGATCGTCATATTTCAACCGTGAAGAGTAGATCGGATGGTTAATGACAACTATCAATTACAATAACTAGTTTAGTAATGTATTTCAGTCACTTAATGAAATCAATGACTGAGAATATTTTTAAATAGTTTTTACTCTCAAACCCTACGTATTGGCACGTGGAATTGATTGAATTAATTCTGTAATTAAAGTGAAATGATAATACAGACAAACCGTGGTGGCGAGGGTAGAAATATTCTGAGGTATCGCCGTTCCGAGAAATCGAAAAACGTCGCAGGTGCGCATTATTTTTTCAGCTCGCGACTCGGCGACTAAATTCGATATCGAGACCGATTATCGAAGCCAGGCTATCCGCGATGGGCATTGCTTAATCGAATGGAAATGCAAATGAGTAAATGACCCGCGACCCAGCTGACACTTGACCCGTCTCGTTCAACATAAATTTACATAGCTCGTGTTATTTGCGGTCGGAGCCTATAACCCATTCCACCGATCCTTGCGTCGTTCGATGTACGATATTTTTTCCTGCACGATAATCTTAATTGTCTCCCCGAAGAACGTGTTTCTACCCGAGGCGAGGGATCGGTTCGGATTCCGTGTCCCACAGTGTCAGCACGTTAAAACGAATTTACTACCGAATTTCCTACGGAATTAAAGACGATTAGTGGCGGTTAGCGTAAGGGATTAGCTCTTCCAATATTCATGGAAGTTCGTCTAAACTTGGTTACAGAATTTCAAGAATATTTTAATGAAGAAACCATTCCTGCTTTAGTTTGGTAAGACAAAGAATACTGTGTATTATTAATGAACTGCTTTATATACAAATTATATCTGAAGAAAATGTAAAGAATTTATGTCACGTATAAAATAAAACAATAATGCACGTTGCTATTCTTAAAGGATAAAAGAAACCTTAATATACATAGCACTTTTAATTATCGTTCAACTTTGTTAATAAAACCTTTTTTGTACCTGACAATTAGAATTACAATTTTTATCTGAAACATTTTTTGCTAAGACGAAGAAAAAGTTTGTGTAAAAACAATTTGATTTATTAATTAATTATTGGCGCTACCGAAAAAACTTTTATACGGAAGTTGTAGATATTGACATCTTCTACAAGAAAGATTCTATGCATTTTTCTTGTAACTTCAATATTTAACGAGTTAAGTACGATTAGTTGGCATTTTTTGGGTACTAATAAAATACGGCCATTCCACTTTACGTGTACTGGAAAATACTCGTTAACTATAGATGATAGAAAAAAGCGTTTTAAACAAAAGTTGTAGCTCTCATTATCAGCTACAAATAAGGTCCTATGCATTTTTCTCGTACGTCCAACGGTTTAGGAGTAATTGAGAAAAAACGTGAATTTCGAATAATCTGAAGGGGTATCCTTGACAAAATTTCGGAAAAATTCGAATTTTTTGTTCTCAAAATTTCGAGAGATGCTTTTAGTAAAAGTTATAGATACTGCTATTACCTCTAAAAAAGGTCGTATACAATTTTTTCTATCTCGTAATGAAACGATACATTCTGTATAACGGAGAACCGAGACAGAAAATTAGACGAACGATCTGCGTGTCTCGGCGAGGTAAAATTTTTCCCGGAAACGCGTACAACATATCTCGCACTTTTTTCCTCGGCCGAGAAAGAATTAACCGACGATCGAGTTCCCCCGCTTATAAGGTCGTAATATTTTTTTTTCTCATCCGCGTGGAACACGTCGAGGTAAGTTTGTAGATGAGTTTTAACGGACACGGGGCACGTGCTGGCAACGTCTTCTGGCTTATCCCTCTTTCCACGCCGACTCTGGAATATACTCAGCAGCCAAACAACTGCGGCAGCTGTCCTGAACAAACTACTAGCCCTCGTGGCGTGCAACGCTCTTCCAAAATCTTTCACGTCTCGTTCGTCTCGCCTACACAAGTTCTCGTAAAAAGTCATATTCGAAATTTCGCACGAAATTTCAAAGTGGAATTAATAGAAATCTCTTGACACGGTTCTA